ACATTTTTTCTTCCATAAAGCAACGAGACTATAATATTGTTTGAATCAGTCATTTTCCCCTCAAGTGCTGTCGCTTACCCGCTTCAGCAACAGGTGGGGAACGGTCGGCGGCGCGCCAAGTTCTAAGCTCACCGCCACTTTCCATCATCCGCAGCGAACAGGATTACATTGTTCAAGTAACGACCGGTGTCGATCACTTTCTGTTTCATGTTTTGGCGCTCGTTTCCGTGGAATGTCGAATTGCCGATTCTCCTGTTATCCCCTGTCACCAGGTTTTACTTGGACTTTTCCATGACGCGCATTCTCCGAAACCACGACTTGCATACCACCACTTCTTTTGTTCATCCATGTCACAAGCTATGAACGAAGGCTTCGGCTGCTGAACGAGCGAGGCTTTCACTAGCTGCGACTGCCGTGCTATCTGTTACATTTATCTTGGATCCTTGTTCATAAGGAACTTGTCTAAAGGGCATATTTGAAGCAGCTCCCTGCCCTTTTGCAATCATCTAAGTTGTAGATGTTTTTGTTCTCGATGTATTGCTTTTCAGAGAAAGCAAATGATGTCCACGCAGTCGATCGCTTGATTTCTTGGACTGTTACCAACAAGCTGGAAATCCCATCGCACCTTACCCAACGAATTGTAAAGCTTAAGTCTTCCACTCGTTCTTGAAACTTGTATAGAGATAGCAGGCTTTTTAGTGAACCGTGCCTTAGAACATATAGGTAGTATGTCTTAGATCATAAAACTGCCTCATTCCACATTTCAAGCCATTTTTGTCGTTATATACGCTGTAGTTGGTACCTCAGGGACCAGTAGTATAGGTTCGTTATTTGTTGTCTTTTGTTCGTAGTTTATATAGTTTAGAAAGTTGACGTGCAAGGTTGTTTTCATAAATTCCTATATTAGAGTCGTTAACTTGTTTGTTCGAGCTATTGTTTACGAGTCATTGTTCCCGTCCTTCAGATGTTACCGCGATCGAGTGACTCCTTGTCGAGATGTCGTTAAGAGAAAAATGCTCCTCTAGATATGTTGAATAAATGAGGTACAGAAAGCTGTCCAACCTTTGAGTCCGCTGTGATTTTTACAATAGTATCTTTACCTTTCGTTGCATTATGCTTCAAATGCTGCTACGAACTCCATTTCTTCAGGATAATGTTCGCTTTAAGAAGGGCGGCTGTTTTGCGGTAAGTTCCTAACATTTCGAAAAGTCGCCCGGGCTTTATAGTAGACGTGGCCAGAAAACTACGTCATTGGTGCCCCTCTTCTTCCCACCTTCTTCACCGCCGTAGAAGGCAAGGGTATGAGGAGGGTTCACCAACAGTTGAGGGGAAAATGACTGATTCAAACAATATTATAGCCTCGTCGCTTTATGGAAGAAAAAAATGTTGGCGCCACGCCAAACCCATCTCCCCTTCATAGGCCCCATCATCCGCAGCGGGCAAGACCATAGCTGAGTCGTCGATAAGGGGAACGCGATGTAGCAACTGGATTCGATCGATTTCCATCGTCTCATTTGAAGCGGACTCATTCCAAAACAGCGAAACACCAGATTACATGTTTACATTCCATACGCTGGTTCTCTGCGTACGAGGGGGTGTCTGTATGCGTTTGGCGCGTCGCCAAACCCGTTCCCCACCAAGTGCTTAAGCGGATAAGCGACAGCGTCGGTGTAAAATGACTAAGGCGAACGATATGACACCGTCTTCTCTCTTGCCCGCTTCAACAGCTGGTGAGAAACAGATTTAAAGGCGCACCGATCCCATCCCGCTTGCCACGCCCCTTCATCCGCAGCGTACAGGACAGCAACGACTTTTCGTTGATGTGCATTTTCCGAAAACGTGATAAGCAGTTCTCCTACTAACTCAGACTGCGTATACAAATTAGGCATGACAGCCAAGCAAGCATACTCTGTCTTTTCACGTCACACTATGACAAAACATAGATTCCTCATTTTCTATGATTCCAAAACAACATTTCTAACCTGCTTTTTCTAACCACAGTGACTGCACGAATTGGGACAGTTCGAAAAGCTGTTCATCGTTGACGCGATGCAGTTTACGCTTTGAATCATCGCGATTCGAACTCTGTTGCTTTGGACGTCCTTTACCATAAAAAGAATCCAAGACTGATGACAACTCGGGGGACAAAATAGACTGAAAAGTTCAATAAGAATATTCGAATTATTCCATGTTGATATTGAGTGAGTAGATAACCCACCGCACTTCCACTGGATTCTTTCACTTCCTTTATTTTTCGTTTTTCAGAAAACATGCACTGAGTAACCAAACCAGCAAAGTTCTCGATAACTTCCAAAGAATCCTAAAAAAGGAGATTCTGAGGAGCTTAGAGAATCATATGATTTCCATTTTTAGAGAATAATAAAAATAGCATTCTTTCGATAGGGACAACACATTTTGCAAGTTCTCCCACAACAATGGCACTAACAAGGGAAAATGGTTAAAAAATGCGAATTATTGTTTTCAAGCCATGCGTGCCCACAACCAGCAGCAGTTCGGCTTGTTGGGATACCCAATGGTACCTAACTAAGCAAGTTTCAGGCTACCTTGTGGAGACCTATAATTTTCTATAAGCAAAGTGGCCCATTTATACCACTTCGTGGCTTTGGAGGAGTTAGCAGGCCTAACCAAAATCTAGCCTGTCAATTAACATGGACTAGCAAACTGGAGAAAGTGCGCCCCTCCTAAACCGAACAGCACATAGAACCATATCAACATCTTGTTCAAACCGCACCACATCAAGCAGTTTTCAAACGTAACCCAGTTACGGTCAAATGTTGCAGCATACTGAAGTCCAACGGCCTCCACTGAACTCTATGATACACCCGCTTCCTCCATCCATAAATTCAGGAAGAAGAAGAAGAAACTGCAGCACCCTGCCAGCTGATATCAAGCACTTTCACCACTCGGCTCATGGAAAATTCCAAGAAAAGCGAAATATTTGTAAGGATGAAACGAACCTCGCATCGAGTCACGCAAGCGAGCGGTTTCTTGAAAAACCTCCCAGGAACGGCTACCTAGAATAAAATGTATCCATATGAGACAAGTCCACGAGCAACTCGAGGACCGGTACCTTTATGAGCACTGCCCTTGCAGTATCGAGATGTTTCAAGTGAACCAGCGCCATGACTAGACTTGAAATAACAGCAAAAGGGTGGTCCTGTTGGCAGCAGTGCCTCAGTAATTTGCCTGAAATACGATCGGTGAGAAAGAAACCGCAGGGTTGTGAAAGCAGCACTTGTAAAGATAGAATGGTAAACAAGCATACCAGCTAGCCGAGCTTGTTCTGCACGATTATCAACTGCTTCGAATATTCCTTGCCATAACAACTCTGATCCACCTGTCGTTCCGTATCGCATGGATAGCCGCTGCCATTCATCGAAAGCTCGTCTAACATCACTGCAATATCATATGCTTGTGTTATTCCAAACAGAATGTAAACTACTCCTGAACAGGCACTTCGGAATTCCATACCCTTTCTCCACCAGAGCTTTAGTGACGCAGCGAAGGAAACTTTCAGAGTTCTTGTCAAATCCTAAGGAATTCATCAATTTATGGACTGCTTCCACTTGATCTGGTGGCCCTGAAATTAGACGATTTGTTACATGAATATCGAAACACAGAAGGCATCGCTTTCCACAAACCAATAGAGCACAACGCTGAGTAGAACTCGTCCAGAACCGATGATGAGGTAGCCGATTTTGAGGGCACGGCTAAACTGACTATATTAATTACATACAAATGCTAACAAACCAGAAAAAAACTTACGCGATTTAACTAGGAACATGTTTCGAAAAACTCGTAACATTTCCGAAGCTGCTTCTACAGACCCACTATCACGAGCAACTCGCAAAGCCAGTCGAACACCGTTTACATCATGGAGAAATCCGCGTCGATTACACACAGCACTGAAATCACAGCGAAGACTACAGGAAAAGCACACCTAATCAGAAAATAAATGAGAAAAAGAAGCTATTTTGCTGAAATTTGTCTTGAGGATCTATGAGATATTCAGTTATATTATGAAATATGACATTTTTTTTGGCGCTAACATGAGCCTCTCACAAAATCGTTTCAAACCTACCTTTTATGGTGGTCGGAATTCGCGATCACGGGTATAACATAGGCTTTCGGAGACAGTCCCACGCTCAGGTAGTAGCGTCCTTCCATGTGGGTACTCTGATTCCCAGTCTCTGAGATTATCCCGCTTTCGTGGCTTCAGAGTAAGCAGCGAAGGTGCTATGGCATTTCTGACGCCTCTCCAATTGCCCCGCCCACCGAAACTCAAGGGCAACTTCTGTCCGAGTTCAGTTTTTACCGCAGTGCTTTTCGTTTTTTCCTCACTTTTAGATAGTATTAGCACTGGATGGTGCGAAAAAAGATTAGTCAGCCACAGGCGGCAGGACATCTCTTTTGCTGGAATATAACGAGCGGACGTGGAAAACTCGTCTAGAGAAGCTGAAACATCCCAATTCAGGGTATTCTGCATGCTTTCTTCCGCTTTTTCTTAATTCAGCGTCTTTTACGGCCATGGGTTTGTTATCGAACGCCATTATCCGCACTGCAAAAACGAGTATATTTTTAGAGACAAACTTCGGTGATTGCTTACGGCATTCAGTTACGAGAATATAGGCGCTACGTGGTTTTCCAGAGGGGGAAAAAGAAAGAAAAAACGTGGAGTACACCTGGGACACCGTTGCCTCTCCGTACGAGTTCTCCGCACCTGCTCGTTCAATGCCAGCAAAGCGATCCTACCTCTTGTTCCCTCATTGTTTCTTCGCCTCACAATGCTCATACCTTCTTTCAGTAAAAAATGAGGTTGAAGTAAGAAGCTTTGGGTTCTGGTTCTGGTAAGCAGCGCCTTCGCTACTTACTGTGAAGCCGCGGAAGTGAGATAATCTCAGACATGTGGACCAGATTATTCGAACAGAGTACGCTGGCAAGTTCGCTGAGGGAAACTGTATCCAACGCTACCCCAGGAACCTATGTCTCGCTTCAGATTCGATCACTCCTAAGTGAACTTTCGAAGGAATTTCGCGCAAGAGAGCACTGACGTCAGATGAGGCGCCGCCAAAAACGAATGTCATATTCACCTGAGCCTGTCCGGGAAATCTTTGATCGCCGCAGCAATGAGCAAATAGTGCTTAACTTTCATAGCAGCTACAGCACACATCTTTTGGATGAGTGGAAAATGAAAGATGCTTCGGTAGAGCAGCTTAAGTAGCAAACTTACAAATCCTGGAGAAACATCACAGCTTCATCGGTGTCGTAACTATCACGAATAACAAGCTCGAAGAGTTGATCCAAATAAGCGCCAATGCTGCGGTGGTCTGGCCATTTTCTCTCCGTCAAAATGGACCGTAAAAGTGCGAGATCCTGGAAAAGAGAATTTAGGTTACGATAATTCATTTATTCTGATATGGAGACACTTTCACTTATTATTCATCAGTTGGTGGAACTGGAAATATTAAACGCAGTTTCTAGAGGTGTTTTCGAAGAAACTAGTTTTCCTTTACGTGTCCCTAGACGGAAATCAACCTCAACGGTATGAAACAATCCTGACTTCTGAATAAGTTCAAAAATTGAAGTAATCCAACGTACCTTCTATAATATAAAGGTTGATTAGGACACATTTTCTCGAGAAAAATACTTAAATGCTAAGAAGATGACAGCACCTGACTATGAACGGCGTCTATAATCTCCGCGGGTGATGCTCTCATTTCACGGTGAATTTCAGGGTCGAAACGATGGGTCTTTGAGTGCTCCGAAGAAGATGGTACAGAATCTAAAGCAATAATTCACTGGCCCGCAAGTTTTTCAGTGGAATTGCCCTCACCTTCATGGTGAGCTGAGCGAGTATCAATGGCCCTTTGTAATAACAAGTCGCTCTGAGTGCCGCTGTCATTTTGCTTTCTCTCCTTCACTGGCTTTGCAGCCATATCAGACGCAACCGCACACGTTTCTCTGGAAAAAAGACCATGCGTTATGGCTTAGGAGTGAGCATCACTATAAAGAATAAACTGTAAATTGCAAAATATAAATAAACAACGTAAATCATACCCTGGCGCTGCACACATGTCACGCAGCACTGCTGAGACGTCATACCCTTGATCTATTAATTCTTCCAATTGTTCCATATCGCTACTTTCGGATGATCCACCTAGCTCCGAGGGATCCGCGGAAGTAGGGATAGCATCGGCACTAGTGACTGATGGCATTTCATAACTAGAAAGAAATATAAGTAAATTCAACTGCATACACCGCAATAACGAAAAACGCTCTTGGGGAACTAGGCTAGCGTCGCGTTTGCACTGCTCCTTTGCAAGGTATGAACACAACCATGTGCTTGAGTGGCTCGCGCAAGGCAAGGTTTCTATGACTAGCAGTAGGACGCGTTCATCATCATCTCTCCTTGGCTCATCATCGAGGTCGTTTTCAGAATCGGCACTCCGGCTTCGCCACTAATCACAGAAGCCCATGAGTTATATGACTAGAACGATTGAATCTTGGGAGTCGCGAACTATAAATGTGCTCTTCGTGATAGTTCGCGATTTAGTCAGACGAGCAATTTGGCCGAATCAGGCGTCCAAGTCACAAAGTATGAGCGATTTGGACGCTGCCTAATGTATGTCCATGTGCTTAGGACCAGAAATCATTAAAGACGAACCTCATGAGCTCATCCATGAAAGTCGTAGCATTGTAGAAGGTTTGTTCGGGACTGCTACGCATGACATCAGCAGACAGTACACCGAAATCGTCAAACGATCTCCTTAAGCAGCATACTGTAATAGCAAGAGCATAGGAAACCTAAATCGACTTACAATTCACGAATTGCTTGTTGAGGAATGCTATTCAAACTCATGTTCCCAACAGGCCGTTGGTTCAAGAACCAGTGATTCGGTCTGAAAGAAGGTCGTTACAAAGTACCAGGAGCACATTGAGAGAGTGTAAACTTCGAAAGATACAGGAGCGCTATTCTGCTTAGGAAGCATCTTGCTAGTTTGGAAGTTGTCGATAGACTACAGCGCACGTACAACATAAATCGCTCATGAAAGATAAGATTCAAGGGTGCTAACAAGTCAGGGCGACCACTATGCCATGCCTCTGTCTCCCTTCCTCAAAAAGACTTGGCTCAGAGCTCAAACAACCGGAGTCCCGCAGATAAGGCATAGTCCAATAGGCCTTCATCTTAATTAGAAGGAAATATACACAGCCGTTAACGAGTACCCTCCCCCCCCTCTTCCCTCAACTATATTAGCGCTGATTTCTGAAAGTCGCCGATCAGTGCGAGAATTATCACTCGTTTCACAGGATGCCTAATAAGGCGAGAACTTCAGAGAAAAGGAGCGCAGACATACCAGAATGAAAATATCAAAGTGAGGATCGAAAAGTCGCCATGGCATGGTAAGTTCCAAAAAACAAAACAGCTCCAACAGTTTGCGTTCGCTTCAAATGAAACCGTGGTTCAAAAAAATAACGAACTCTTCTGCGGGAAAATGCTCCTCGTAATGGAGGTCATACAGCAAGTTTGAGCTACGACCATGTTCCTCCCTAGCCAATCGATGGTGTTGATGCCGCAGAAACCTGTGACAAAGTCTTTTTTATCCAACACATTTTTTTATCCAACACAAACTAGACTCCGCTCAAGTGTGCAAAGAAAAAAGCCAGCAAAAATCACCTCAATGGGAGTGGAACCTTCTGATATCTCAACATTTCATACCACCGGATATAAACATAACTTCAAACTATACATGAACAACGACTGAGAGTACCCTTAATCGAGGGCGTACCCAACGCACCTGGAATTTTGTAAAATGATTTGACAGATAGATTCCACGCAAAATAGCACGCACATAAACGATAATCAGGATCTAGGAAATAACACGCACTCACTAGGAAGCGGAAAAAGTAGGGGGGAAAAAAGGAAATGCAATAACAAAGCCTTCTAAAAATACCATGGATATCTGCACAATATCCGTTACGTGAAAAACGAGACATATGTCTGGTTGCAGAGCATCGGAAATAAAAAATAAGCTTGCTGTAAAGCACTCAATAGACTCCCGAAAAAAAACCTGGAATTACTGTAATGCAAGTGAAAGTTGCCGTCACGAAAGTTCGGTTACACAGGTTACGCAGCAAACGACGCCAGTCCCCCGTTCATTGTTGCTTGTATGTGTATGTTATTAAGGTTCTGCTTCGCTTCCTTTAGCCTTTATTTCTTCCCCATAATATGGAAAATTTGGAATGGAATAGCTGGGCGACAGAATGAGCCGTAAGGTGTACCAAAAATGAGGAAATGTAGGCCAGCGCTTGCTCAGTTTTAGATTTACGCTGCTAGTTTCCTTTCCCATCAACTACATCTTCTACATACATCAAGGCTTTGTTGTGAGCTGTGAGTTGAGCTTGTTCGTCAGATATCTTTCCGATTGCTATATCCATGAAATTATGTATTTGGAAACGCCTAGGTGCCCACTCAAACTGTTGTGCGTGCATAAAGCGAAGAAAGGGCGTGGTTGGACGAGTTCTCTTTGCCCAGCTCTTTCTTCTTATCCCCTCGCTCTCACCTCATAATGACTTGCCTGCGGAACAACTGCACCGTCAGGTAGCAGTTAAAAATGAAAGTCGCCGAGAAGTGTGCGGAACCATGGTCTGCCACAAGCGAGAGGCACTGTATTTCTAGGCTGCGAAAGTAGCACATTCTCTTGCTTGCAGACAAGACTGCCGTGTCCAGAGAAGGCGCTTGAACATCAAACGAACGTGGGGCCTGCCTTACAGGACGGAATCGTGTATTGCCATGTGACACGCTTACCACGCGCGCGGGCTGGAGGTCAAACCACCAACCTCGGTCTCCGCCCAGGCCAACCAAGCCTTCTACCCTCCGGGACGGTAAATTGGTACCAGATTCGTCTGGGAGGATAAAACACTGACTTGTACATCGGCTGGCCCCCGCAAGTCATTGTATAGGCCACATCGCATTCAGTAAGCCACCATGTTGTTGAATGTAAGTAGGCTGCCCGCATCTCAGAAGGGATCGAACAAGCATCGTTGATGGCTTTGGTGGCACTTACTGACTAGAAGGACCATCCACCCGGCACTTTGCCACCTAAGCCAACAGCATCTCGGCTAAATAAATAATGAGAACTCCTGCATCGCGTCAATACTGTACTGCTACCTAGGGAGACTGGTACTTTCGCGCAGTCTTATTCGGATTATTAAACGGAAGCTGAGCTATCTCTTTGCTTTCGACCCCCTCAATAATTCTCATTTATTAGATTTTACAGTATAGTCCATTAATCTCAGTTACAATGATTTTATTCGCTGCGAATGTTGGGGCATGTCAGGGGGGGGGGGAGCAATGACTTTTAGGCTGTAGGCCTTTGTCTACATTTCGCTCCGGATCTGCCAAAACGGACTTCTACATAATTTTCAATCGACTTCAGAGAACATTGCGTTGAAAGGTTTTATAACTGTTATAGTAAAGGATGTACTACTGAAACTACTGCGCACTATTCTGCCCTACAAATCAGCCTGAACACAGTCCGTTTGCTATTAAATAGCCAACGGATAACAAATACATCAATAACAACCTCTAAAGGAACGTAACAATTTACCTCACCACTAATCTGACTGCTGAAATAAGCTACTTAGAAAGCCTAGTATACCCGTGCAGTTCGGAGGATTTGAAGCATGACATCGAGAAAATATAAACAACTAGAAAGATTTCGTGAAAATGCACTGAATTGCTGAAGGCCTCACAATATCATCTTCTCAAAAACATGAAATAAGTTGGAAAACGATTCGCTTACATCCGACTATCTTTGGCACAACCTCACTAACGAGTCAATCACGCGTAGAACTGCATGGTGTTATCCGAGATTTCAATGGTCTGCTAGGACGCGGAACTTTGAAGGACTGAGACTTCATTCTTGAGTACTTGCTGAATCTGCCAAATATCCGTGCTGCGAACCAGTTCGTCATCTGCACGAATCTTCAAGAAGCCGTCGGGTTCGTAAATCCATCGCCTATAAATGTAATATGCACTTCCACGGTTACGGGTGAGGCACATAATATTTCGCAGAAGAATAATGCCTCACACAGGAGGATGTCAAGACAATCGTAATATGCTGAACTGAGAATACGAGCGACGCCGCATAAGTGAGAGACTAGTGGCCCTGCTCGCTGTTCGGGTTAGCATACAAAGACACTGGAGAAATCAAGACCCCTGGCGTAGTCTTGTCTCCGTCCGGATCCACATGAGTTTCGCTGCTCCAATCGACATACTGACGCAAATCGAAATTCCGCCGACGAACACCACCGCACGATACGTCGCGCGCGGTCAGGCGGCAGATTACGATTCTCTTGTCTGTCTCCCAAAAAAATCCACCTTTAGATAACTCTAACCATTATTTACAAACATGAATTTAGGTCTAGATTTCGGATCTGCAGAGCAGATTACGAAGATCATGCATTCGTGGCCTTATGGTTCAGGCACTAACTTTGCAAAAAAGTGGATCCTAGAGGGCTTCCTATGTAGTTGTTCTACTTCTTCGTTACGCGGTCAGTCCTGTTTTAAACCGCACTGGCCACATTCGCCAATCGCGGAATCTACGCTTGAAATGATTGGGATAAGAAAGGAAATACAACTTTGCCAAGAGTTCGTGTTCGCCTATTAGTCCCCATAGGCGCATCTTCTCATCATCTTGCAGGGTGACTCCATACCGCTTGAACAGATCGTATAGTCGTAATGCCAGCGGAGCCAACTTCCTTTGCTCTGAAAATCAACAAAGCAGCGTGAATCGATTTCCAAGCATGAATTTAAATGATTTCTTGAGGAATATCACTTTCAAATTTCACCAATATTTATACTTTTCTCTGCTGCACTACAGGAAAAAAGGGAGGGATAACGCAAAAAGGAAGCAGCGGCATCACTTCGCTGCACACAAAGCATTGGCATGAGGGATTGCTTGACAAGGGGCGGCACTGGTGGCGGATAGAGTAGAAATTGATAATCCATGGCTTACTTTGAAGCACTTTTTCTGGTCCCTGAAGAGCTCTTCAGGCCAGCTATCAGTTATAAGGTAAGCAACCTATGCTTGAAGGTCATGCCCCCGCTCTTTTGTAGCAGCGTGTCTCTAGACTGTAACCGCAGGCAAGCACAATTCGTCAGTCTCAGCGCTGAGTTATAAGTTTTTGAACCAAACACTGTCCACTAATAGTACGTCCAGGCCATTTCAGGTGGGTCTCATTCATTCCATCCGTTTGCCTATCACTGACCTTTGAACTCCTTGCCCTCGCCTTGGGTTGCTCTGCAAACCGAATTATGAGTTGTCTGCTGTCATGGCTCACTATCCGAACGCTGCTAGTATAATTCGGCGTGAATCCGTAACATTCGGCGCCATGACGTATCCACCCCATAGGTAACGGCTCTCCAAACGGCTTTTTGAAGCACAATTTTCGGGAAGCAGCCAAACAAAGACTGATCACGGTCTTGTCAACTTGCGCACGCTAGGGCGTATGACGGAGGGGGGGGGGGGGCGCTACTACTGGTTGAGCATATTGTCGAACTAAGCAACCACCAATAGAGTGGAAGGGGGGACTCGCCAAATTATTGGCCCTGAGTATGCCGCCATGCGCCCCAGCAAAGGATTTGCCTTAAACAGTAGGTATGTCTAATTAATCACCACATTGTGCGATTCCAGGTCAACCAGGCATTTGTCGCACTGACTTCCGAACTTTCAATAAACTTAGTATGCTTTAGGCACAGTTCTGCGAACTGCCGTATGAATTCTTCATCGACCTGCAAAAGAATAGAAGAAACCCCAGTTTAAAAAAAAACGTCTTGAAAACTTACCATCTTCGCCTTAAAAGAGTTCATAAATCGCATGGCCATTACACAATCCAATGGATCAATTTCTTCCTAAAAGCGGTACCATCAGGGCAGAGGAATCGTTGACTTGCTCACACTTCTTTTGAGTGAGCGCACCTTTGTTCTTCCAAAAAAGTAGCCGCCTCCTCATAGTACCGCTTCGCAACGAGCGTAGCCGCGTAAAGACAGTGAACGCGGGACTGGTGCACGAAGTTCTGTGCTTTGTGTAGCACTAAAAAAGTAACATTAGAACTAGTATACTGTTCTTGATCCTTTAGCCTTCCGAGATTGTTAAAGACGTTTATTAGACTAACGTTTCGGCGAAAATCGCCTTCTTCGGAGTCCTGAAAGTCGAAAGCACATTATCGAAACACTTCGCCCAAAACCAACATCACTTACAAAAGAAAATCAAGGGTAGGGAATCAGGGAACGAAATCGTAACGGACCTACAACTCACCTCTTACTGATGTGGAACTCTACCGGGCACTCTGAGTCTAGAGCCTGAGCGGTGCTTTTATATGAGTTTCAGCTCAGAGTTTCTCGGGTCAAAGGGCTCTAGGGACCATATGGCACTGTGAACATTGGGTCAAGGCCTGAAGGAAAGAATTTTGAAATTGGGCATGCCGGGTCAACCGCCGCCAGGGGTAAAGGACCAGAAAGGGGACACACATAATAATGAAGACCGGGTCACCGCCGAGAAGTGGTAAAGGGTACGAGAGGGACAGTTCTCAAAAATTATTACGGTGAAGGATGATAAAAGATGCTCCAGACTCAGAGTGCCCGGTAGAGTTCCACATCAGTAAGAGGTGAGTTGTAGGTCCGTTACGATTTCGTTCCCTGATTCCCTACCCTTGATTTTCTTTTGTAAGTGATGTTGGTTTTGGGCGAAGTGTTTCGATAATGTGCTTTCGACTTTCAGGACTCCGAAGAAGGCGATTTTCGCCGAAACGTTAGTCTAATAAACGTCTTTAACAATCTCGGAAGGCTAAAGGATCAAGTAACAGTATACTACGCCTATATGCCGAGATTAATTGAAAGCCGGTCATGGAACATTAGAACGTGTTGAGGATACAACAGTACATTCTTACAAGAGATAGTGACTATCATCATCCTTTCATTCTATAAACTACTAACTTTGTGTGTCGGTTTGTTTGCATGTATGTAAGTATATATGTATGTAAGTACACTCGAAATCCCTAGGATGCGGTAGGCGTGGCTGCGTACTTCAACTAAACGTGGCGGTGGCTGTGCTTTTGGTGAGATATTTTCATTTTGAAACAATTGTGGTCATGTCTCTGTCCACCATAGAACAAGATGGCAGTTGTCTCGAGTTGAAATATCCCACGAGTAACCCATCCTATGCCATGTCCAAATGCCACGCCTACCCCGACTCAGGGATAAGGAGTATACTAGCAGGATATTTCCGTCTAG